CATCAGAGCTTCGCAGTCAATTGAGTCGAACCTCGTCGACAAATCGTATAATGAAAAACAGTGAACAGATTATCAGCGATCAAGGCCAAGTTCACATTGCACATTGCAGGTAAGTGAGAATGAGCAAGGTTTTCGGGGATTGGACCTCTTTCGAGGTAGGGGAAAAGAAGGCGAACCATTTTGGTCAGCAAATAGAGTATACGATTTAACGGTACATAAATACCATTTCAAGCAATCTGACCTGATGAATGACAAGAACGTCAATGCTGTCGGTTCGCCATCATGTCCTTTAATGTCTCTGAAAAGCCAGTTAGTCTTTTGAAGTTGTCTGGAAGACCAGAGTCATTTACTCCAACTAATCGCACTTAGGATTTCATGCTTTGTCTCCATGCCAATTGGTGACTTCCGCCAGCCCTGGGAGGCAACTACAAACAAGGAGTAACGTGGTAGGCGACCGCTTGACATTTGCAAAACGTACCCTGAAATGAATTCCATGTGATAGCGATGTTTAAGCCAAATAATTCACAATAGCATGACAGATTACAAGTTACTAACACGCTCACGTCCTCCAACCGGGGTCAGCCAGTGTAAGCAGACTATGGAAAACCTCCGGGTCTCACCATCGGTGGTGAACGGTCGTTACAATAGTGATCTGGGGGTCCTGAGTTCGAACCCCGCCACCGCCACCCAGCTTCCGATTTCCTGCATTTCACAGATAGCCTGTGCATGAAAGTTTACCGTACGTTTGTGTAATCCATCTGTTAACATCTGTATGGTCGAAGTAGATGTCCTGGGTTGTGGTTGGTCACTTTTTTATCATACCTCACGAACTGCTGCCATACGATCAAGTATCCCAAATAGCCTCTGCTGACGATGCACTACTTACTTCCATTTCGCAAAAATGAGGACGAAAAGACAGCATACAGGGCTATAACCAGGTCGGTGAACCAATGGCAGTTCACCTAGGGCAGTTGGCGAAAAAACTTGATTCCAAACCAACCGAGAGGCGTATGAACAACACCCACTTACACCTTCCTGGTTGTGGTGGTGATTATCGGCTCAACTGGGCACGGAGGTGTATTGGATACATTGAACGTTTAACCCCATACAAAGAGCGCATGATCCGATGAGCTGGACACCGGCCCATAATGTATTGCAGTTTTCAAGTACCGCACCGCCGCCTTGCAGGTCAGGTTTCGGTTACCCGAGGGTTTTAGTTGTGAACTCCCTTGTCCTGACCTGGGCAACCTGGCAGTATCGGGTCCACAAGCAAGTCA